CCGTGGGCTCAGGCAATCCACTCACCTCAGCCTCCCAAAGGCGCGGGATTACAGGCTGAGCCATCGAGCCCGCTCTGGGAACCTCTTTAAACTATTCTGTTACATTTTTATGTACAACATAACAACACTAATTAGTAGGCACAGCTGGTTGCCTTCCCAATACCTCTTCTCTCCTTTCCTAACAGAACCTTAGTTCTGCTCAGGAATCACTCCCACTTGCATCTCCAGAGGAATTCTGACCCCTAAGTTCATCAGAACACAGCACGCCCCCAGCACAACAGTCCGGTGGTGAGGGCAGGACCCACACCGTCTCAGTCAGACCAAGGGAGGGAATTCTATACCACCTCGATTCTTTTCATTCCTATCTCACAGCTGCAGCTAGACACGAGCAAGGAAGAGTGTAGCCTTAACTGCTACAAGCAACCCTGCAGCAATCCAAGAATGCAGGGGATACTTATGATGGCAAAAAAGACAGGTGACCCTGGGTCCTTGAGGACATCAGTGAGTCACTGATGTTACCACTCTCAGAACCTTGTCCAAACCCTGCATTTACACTTCTACTGGGTTGTAAATTTCCTTATGATTTAAGTCACACTGGGTTTTCTGTAAAAGTTTGCTGTTACCTGCAACAAAGAGCATACTCTTTCATATAGCTGGAAGTATTCTCCCAGGGTGCTCACTCTCTTTTAACTCTGTTTTTATTTTTATTTTTTAAAAGTTTTAAATTTTTTTAGTTGGAGTCTCACTCCATAGCCCAGGTTGGAGTGCAGTGGCACGCTCACAACCACCCCAGCATCAACCTGCTGAGCTCAAGTGATCTTTCTGCCTTAGCCTTCCAAGTAGCCAGAACTACAGATGTGTGCTACTATGCCCAGCTAATTTGTTATTTATTGTAGAGACCAGGTCTCACCAAGTTGCCCAAGCTGGTCTTGAACCCCTGGACTCAGGCAATCCCCTCGCCTCAGCCTCCCAAAGTGCTGGGATTACAGGTTTGAGCCACCACGCCCAGCCTCTGTTTTTAAATATAGTTTTGTGTTTGTTTTATTTATTTTTGAGTCAGACTCATTCTGTCGCTCAGGCTGGAATGCAGTGGCATGATCATAACTCACCGCAGCCTCCATGCCTGGCTAATTTTTAAAATTTTTTTGTAGAGATGAGGTCTGGCTAATTTTTTGAATTTTTTTTTTTTTTTTTTTTGGTAGAGATGAGGTCTTGCCATGTTTCTCAGACTGGTCTTGAACTCCTGGGCTCAAGTAATCTCGCCTCAGCCTTCCAGAATGTTAGGATTCCACACCCAGTCTTGGGATATAATTTTAAACACATTAATTCCATATATATAAACTTGAATTCAAGTTTCCGGACTTCAAATTTTCTGTCAATGATCAATCAGTTTAGTCTTACCCTAGTAACATACTAATTTAGTAGCTAGAACTTTGTGATGCATGTTAATATCTGTCAGGGCAGCTGCCTGTATCCCCATCCCTCTTATTTTCATTTATTGAAAAATATTTTTAAAGAGTAGAATGGTGGTTGCCAGAGGCTAAACAGAAGAAGAAATGAGGGGATAGATGTTGAACAGGTACAGAGTTTCAGTTTTGTAATGCGAAAACATTCCATAGACTGTTGCCAAACAATGTGAAGACTTAACACTGCTGAACTGGACACAGTTAAAAATCATCAAGATGAGCCGGGCACGGTGGTTCACGCCTATAATCCCAGCACTTTGGGAGGAGGAGGCGAGAAGACTGCATGAGCCTATGGATTCGAGACCAACCTGGGCAACTTGGCGAGACCTCGTCTCTACAATAAGTCATAAAAATTAACTGGGTGTGGTGGTGCATGCCTGTAGTTCCAGCTACTTGAAAGGCCGAAGGATCACCTGAGTCCAACAGGTCTAGGCTATGGTGGCCATGAGCGGGCCACTGCACTCCAGTCTGGGAGACAGAATGAGACTCTGACTCAAAAAAAATAGTCAAGATGGTAAATTTTATGTTGTTTTTTTTTTTTTACCACAATTAAAATTTTTTATAAATAAATTGATTTACTATCTTTGGTTACTTTTTCATTTAAGAGATAACTTGAAAAGCATTTTATACATTTTTTTAAAAACCCTATTCATTTTTAATTGGTGCCACACCAACTGGTGAAAAGCAACATCTTTATAATAAAATTTTAAAATCTGCAATTTGCTCAGCCTGTAATCCCACGCCTTTGGGAGGCTGAGGTGAGTGGATTGCCTGAGCCCACGAGTTCGAGACCCACCTGGGCAGCGAGACCTCATCTCCACAATAAATCAAAAAATCAGCCAGGCGTGGTAGCGTATGCCTGTAATTCCAGCTACTCGGAAGGCTGAGGCGGAAGGATCGCCGGAGCCCAGCAGGCGAGGCTGCAGTGGCCGGGAGCAGCCACTGCACTCCAGTCTGGGCAACCGAGTGAGGCTCCAACTCAAAAAAAAAAAAAAAATCTGCAGTTCAAGAAATTAAAGAGTGATGTGTCTCATCACTCTTTAAAAATCCCTCCCTCACCAAAATTTCATATTTCTCTTCAAATAAAGCCTAAATAACTTAAGTTTCTCACAATATGTCTTTTATGCTGCTTACTGTGAGATTATGTTTCCATTATAATTTTAATATACAATTAAAGTACTAATCATTGCATATTTCTTAATATACCTACCACCTTCATCAAATCCCTCATTGCATTAACAATTATTTTCAGTCGGGTGTGGTGGCTCAGCCTGTAATTCCAGCACTTTGGGAGGCTGAGGCGAGAGTATTGCCTGAGCCCAGGGGTTTGAGACCAGCCTGGGCAACATGGTGAGATCTCATCTCTACACTAAATCAGAAAAACTAGCTGGGCACGGTGGCATACGCCTGTAGTTCCAGATATTTGGAAGGCTGATGCAGAAGGATCACCCAAGCCCCAGTAGGTTGAGGCTTGAGGCTGCGGTGGCTGTGAGCATGCCACTACACTCCAGCCCGGGCAACAGAGTGAGACTCCAACTCAAAAACAGTTCATTCTCCAGTTCATTCTCATGAAATTTCCAGATAATTAGATTACCTAAAAATAAGTATACATTTTCTCTTTTCTAATCGTTTCAAAGGGTATGAATTTTATTCTTTTTAGAAAACAGGATTTATTGAGAGAATAGAAAAGCTCCCACAGTGGGAGGCGACCCGAAGGGGTTGACTGGGTATGAATTTTAATTTCTGAAAAGTATTATGAAATTTTGAAAAGTATTCCATTATATGCAAAAGTGTGAAACAATTAAAAAAATAAAAATGACTGAGCTCAGGAGTTTGAGACCTGGGCAACATGGCAAAACCTCACCTCTATAATAAAATAAAATAATTAGCTGAGTATGGTGGTGAGCGTCTGTGTTCCGGCTACTTGGAAGCAGAGGTGGAAGGATCACCTGAGCCGAAGTTGCACTCTAGCCTGGGTGAGACTAGACTGGACTGGACTAGACTAGACTAAACTAAGCAAAAATAAAATAAAACCGATCCAATCTCTCCATATATAGTCACACGCTGCATAATGATGTTTCAGTCAGCAACAAACAGCATATGTGATGGTCCCATAAGAACATAAAGGAGCTAAAAAATTCCTACCACCCAGCGATTTGTGTTATGACTGTCTAGAGTTTTCAGTAGTCACATGCCGTGCAGGTTTGTAGACTGGGAACAACAGGCTTTCCCATATGGCCTGGGTGTGCAGTGGGCTGTACCCCTAGGTGTGTATAAGGATTGTACACTTGATGATGTTTGCGCAAGGACAAAATTACCTAACACTTCTCAGAACATATCTCCAAGTTAATTGATATATGACTATAGTCTCAGTTTTACACATGAAATGCAAAAATCATATGTACAAGTAAAAAACCCAATGAAGAAGAAGAGGGACTGGTAGTCACAACTCAAGTCTGTACCACCAGCTACGTGGTTTTGTTCAGGCATGCAGATGAAAATGTGCTACAGGATTTTGAAAACTTTGTTCGCGAAATGAAGATCTTGGCCAGGCATGTTGGCTCAAGCATATAGTCCCAATACTTCGGGAGGCCGAGGTGAGAGGATTGCCTGAGCCTGAAGGTTCGAGACCAGCCAGGGCAACATGCTGAGACCTCGTCTCTACAATAAATCAGAAATTAGCCGGGTGTGATAGCGCACACCTGTAGTTCCAGCTACTTGGAAGGCTGAGGTGGAGGGATCATCTGAGCCCAGAAGGTTGAGGCTGCGGTGGCCATGAGCATGCCACTGCACTCCAGCCTGGGCGACAGAGTGAGACTCCAACTCAAAAAAACAAAAAAACAAAAAAAAACAAAAATGAAGATCACTCAATGGAGATAAATTCTGTAGTTCAAATGATGTCTAACAAAGTTCTTACTTCTCTGTTCTTCCTTTGAAAAAAAGAGCTGAGGAGTACTTACTTGTCAATGCACACTTTAATTTTAAGCTGATAATTCAACTCGGGGAATTTGACCAGCAACCTATTAAAAACAATCCAGTTAAAAAAAAAAAAAAGGTCAGTAGGCTCCTCTATAACCTCTGGTTGAAGAAATGTAAAATTTCTAGCTCTTCAAATCTAAGCAGTGAGTAAGTGGCAATCCCAAATTCCTCCTCCAATCAATGCCTGTTTTGATACTAAGTGAAACATGCCAGCTTTAGGCCAAAAGGTACTGGAAAAAGGCCTAAGAACTAAGACCCTGGACAAAGTTACGACAGAGTCACAAAAGGACAATAAAAGCTATTTAATGAAAAATATTACAGGGACAGAACACAAGCTCACAGCTGGTATTTTTTCTGTTAAACCTGAAACCCAGCACCACACTTCTGAGAAGGAAATTTCCCTGCAAAACCCCAGCCTACCTGCTTCGACAGGAGTGTGAAAGTAACACTTCGCCCTATGCCCCCCTCCCAACCTGCCCTGGGGCCTCTTGGCTTCCACAGCACTAAGCCTTCCCTCTTCCCCTTAACGCCCTCAGGGAAAACCAGGTTCAGAACAGAATTGATGTAATTTTGTCCCTGTGACAAATGGAGAAGCTGTGGCCTAAGACTCCAGGCCTGGAATCACAGGAGTGGGATGACTCTGCTCCCGCTTGTCTGACGTTAGAATCAAAGAGCAAGTCGATATCACGCCAACAAACCCCATACCCGCAGCAAGACTGCCTGTGACACCTAGAAAGCACAGCCTGGGCCACCAACTCTGCTCTCGCCCCAAGACTGTCCCTCAAAAAAATATCTTCCCAAAGCGGATGCGCCGTGGCCCACCTGACTTTGGTCGTAAACTGGACCCCGGTCTTGATGACGAGTGGCCGGTCGGGGTGCATGGGCATGCAGGGCTGCCGTTCTACCACAAAGGCACTGTGGGGAAAGGGAAGAACGGGGTTCACAAGTGACCACAGTAGACAGCCTGTCCAGCTCCTCAGAAACCAATCCACCTCTCACTTCAGGACATGATTTTCTTTGGATGAGGGAAAGGGACAGGGGCTCTAAGTCACCTTTTCATTAAGTTTCTAAACAGTTCCACGATCCTCTCCTCCAGCATGGGCCGGTGCTGTACAATGGGGTCCCCTTTGTAGGACACTTTCTGCTGCAACTCCTCCAGTTTCTTAATTTGCTGGCGGGTCTGAAGTTGAGATTCTGCTAATGAGGTTATCCTGCCAATAAATTCAGAAAGGTACCCATTATCTAAGTGAGTGTATTCAGGTGAGCTGGAGAAGGGGCAGGAAATACCACAGACATATACCCCACTAAGAAGTCCCCTGAAATAAAGAAAGGGGACCTTTTTTTTCATTGTGGTAAAATATACATCACATGAAATTGACTGTCTCAACCATCTCAAGTATACAGTTAAGGGACATTGAGAAAAGAGGAATTTTTAGCTGGGCATGGTGGTACATGCCTGTAGTTCCAGCAACTTGGAAAGCTGAGGCAGAAGGATCACCTGAGCCCAGCATGTCAAGGCTGTGGTGGCCGTAAGCATGCCACTGCACTCCACCTGGGTAACAGAGTGAGACTCTGACTGAAATTTTTTTAAAAAGAGAGAGAATAAGGCCGAGTGTGGTGGCTCATGCCTGTAATTCCAGCACTTTGGGAGGCTGAAGTGGGAGGATTGAAGGGAACCTAAGAGTTTGAGACCAGCCTGGGCACATAGTGAGACCTTGTCTCGACAGAAAATCAAAAACTTAGACAGGTATGTGGTACACATCTGTAGTCCCAGCTACTTGGGAGGTTGAGGCAGGAAGATCACCTGAGCCCAGGAGGTCAAGGGTGCAGAAAGCTGTGATCATGCCACTGCACTCCAGCTTAGGTATAGACTATGTAGATGTGTGTGTGTGTCTGTGTGATTACACAAAGATGTCTAGAGTAAAGGTCACCAAAATTTAAACTACTAGCATCTCTGAAGATTAGATTTTATTTATTTATTTATTTTTTATTTTATTTTTTTAAGTTGGAGTCTCACTCTGTCACCCAGACTGGAGTACAGTGGCTGCTCCCGGCCACCACAGCCTCGAGCTGCTGGGCTCCGGCAATCCTTCCACCTCAGCCTTCCAAGTAGCTGGAAGATAAGATTTTAAAGAATTTTTCTTTTATTAATTTTCTGTAACTAAATTATTTTCCCTTATAAAGAACATATGTTGTTTTAGATTACCCAAAAGACTGAAGTTAAAAATTTTGTCCATGTTAGACACATACAGCCTTATTTAAATTATTGAGAGATATTTATTTGTTTGTTTTTGGGTTTTGTTGTTTTTGGGTTTTTTTTTAGTTAGAGTCTCACTCTGTCGCCCAGACTGGAATGCAGTGGCACACTTCCGGCCAGAGATATTTAAAACCTGGTAATGGAAACACATTTTTTGTGTGTGTTGGAGTGTCACTCTGTCGCCCAGGCTGCAGTGCAGTGGCACACTCACGGCCACCCCAGCGTTGACCTGCTGGGCTCCGGCGATCCTCCCGCCTCAGCCCCAAGTAGCCGGAATTACAGGTGTGCACTACCACGCCCGGCTAATTTTTTTGATTTATTGTAGAGACAAGGTCTCGCCAAGCTGCCCAGGCTGGTCTTTAACCTGCGGGCTCAGGCAATCCACTTGCCTCAGCCTCCCAAAGTGCTGGAATTACAGGCTGAGCCACTGAGCCCGGACCACATTTTTATTTTAAAGATGTGTCTAGGTAAAGTAAAAGCTAAACCCAAAGCCAGGTGTGGTGGCTCATGCCTATAATCCGAGCATTTTGGGAGGCTGAGGTGAGCGGATTGCCTAAGCCCGCGGTTCAAGACCAGCCTGGGCAACATGGTGAGACCTCATCTTTACAATAAATCAAAAAATTAAACGGGCATGGTGGCGCACACCTGGGGTTCCAGCTACTTGGAAGGCTGAGGCAGAAGGATCACCTGAGCCCAGCAAGTTGAGGCTGCATTAGCCGTGAGCCTGCCAACTGCCCTCCAGTTTGGCTGACAGAGTGAGACTCCAACTCAAAAAAATAAAAACTAAATCTGAATACGTAAAAGTGCCCACCTCAGAGATATACTTGCAACTCTGGGCTTGCAGCTATGATCATAACTCAACACAGATCTCTAGAAGGAAGGGAAAAGCTTCCCATGTCCTCACCAGTTTTCCAAGCGATCGAGGCAGATGTTGGGAGGACCTCCGATGCATGCTATCTGCTGCCGCCTCTTCCAGTCCGCCAGCTCCTCATCCGTGAGTGTTTTCTGCACATACTCCATGGCTGACAACAGCCCCGCTAGCTCGCTCACGATGCTCTGGATGGAAACCAGCACAGAGTCAGAAGACATTTCCTCAGACCATCTCTAATCACACTACTTAAGTCAGTTCCAAAGAAGGAACTTCTTAGAAACCAAGCAAGTTTTTCCACGAGATACTGAAAACCTGCCAGCAAGTGAGCCACGCAGGGAAGTCATCTGCCCAAGGCCCTTACTCGCCGCATCTGGTCCAGCGCAGTGAGCATCTGCTCCAGCTGCTGCATCTTCTGTCTGGTCACCGATTGGTTGTTTCCATTCAGATCCTGCATGTCTGTGGAGGAAAAGAACTCCTTGACCTGGGGGACACTCCAATACCCCCTGGCCAGGCTCCACAGGCATCCAGACTCCCTTGCATCCCACCCGCCACAGGGAGGTTGAAACACAGAGTCAAGACAAACAAGTCCTTGAACTCAATGACGCAAATTCACTTTCTACAGGAGATTTTAACGTCTCTAATAGTCACTTGCCTCCTTGACTCTTGAGGGTTTTATAGTTGAAATCGAAGTCATCCTGAAGATTCTCTACCACTTTCATTTTCTGTTCTAGATCCTGTTCAAAACAAACCCCAAAAAACAGAAGTAAAAAAAGATTTCTCTGGGGAGAAGGAAAAGAAAGTTTCTGAGAACGCCAATGAAGATGAAATCTCAACAAAAAAACACACAGGATTCGCACGCAGGACCCCCCAGGAAAGGCTCCCTGCCTGGGCCCACGTCACCTGCACTCTCTTCCGGACATCCTGGAGGTGCTGTTCCAACATCTGCTGCTTCTCTGTCACCACGGCTGCTGTTGGGTGGTTGGCCTGTCCCCCTTGCTGCCAAAAAGGAGATGAGCCCACAAGTAAACACACAAAACACAGGGAGAGAAATAGCTCTATTCAGTCTCCATTCCTCTCTTCCTTCCCTTCCTATTTGGCTTGAGATGCACTGCCATCATAAGAGGAAGGGAAACAGAGGCAGCGGAGCCGTCAGCATGGCACACAGTAGTTCCACCTGTGTTGTTAGCTTGTCATCAACAGGTCATACTCTAAAACCACTCTATTCCCTGCACTAGGAGACCACGTGTTGAGCTAACCCATGGTCCCTGCCTCCAAAAAGGTCACGGCAAGTATATCAGAAAAATTCAGAACCAGTCAGGCATGATGGCTCATGCCTGTAATCCCAGCACCCGGGAGGTGGAAGTGAGAGGATTGCCTGAGCCCACAGGTTCAAGACCAACTTGAGCAACATGGCGAGACCTTGTCTCTACAATAAATAAAAAAATTAGTCAGACATGGTGGTACATGCCTGTAGTCCCAGCTATTTGGAAAACTGAGGTAGAAGGATCGCCTGGAAACCAGCAAGCTGAGGCTGCAGTAGCCATGAGCTTGCCACTGCACTCCAGCCTGGGTGACAGAGTGAGACTCCAACTCAAAAAAAAAGAAAAAGAAAAATTCAGAACCATGTATGACAGCGGATGCTGCATGGCTATTTGACACTTATCAAAAGATATGAACTCAGGGAGAAGAGAGGCTGGTACCTCGAAAAGGTCAAATAACACATGAAACTGAAAAATGACAGGCTTTATCAAAGAAATGTAAGAGGACATCCTTGGACAGCAAAGATTATGTAAAAGCTACAGTGGGCCAGATGTGCTAGCTCACACCTGTAATCCTGGCCAAGGTGGCAGGATTGCTTGAGCCCAGGAAGTTAAGATCAGCCTGGGCAACATGGTGAGACCTTATCTCTATAAAAAATCAGCTTTGGGAGGATGAGGTGAGTGGATTGCCTGAGCCCGCGGGTTCGAGAACCGCCTGGGCAGGCAAGACCTCATCTCTACAATAAATCAAAAAATTAGCCGGGCGTGGTAGCGCACGCCTGTAGTTCCAGTTACTTGGAAGGCTGAAGCGGAAGGATCGCCAGAGCCCAGCAGGTCGAGGCTGCAGTGGCCGGGAGCAGCCACTGCACTCCAGTCTGGGCAACAGAGTGAGACTCCAACTCAATCAATCAATCAATCAATAAAATTTTTAAAATAAAAATAAATAAAAATTTTTTAAAATCACAAAAATTAGCCATGTGTGGCAGTGCCTGCCTGTAGTCCCAGCTACTTAGAAGACTGAGGCAGAATGATTGCCGGAGTTCAGTAGGTTGAAGCTGCAGTGGCTGTGATAATGCCATTGCACTCTAGCCTGGGCAACAGAGTGAGACTCCAACTCAAAAAAAAAAAAAAAAAAAAGCTACAGTGATCAAAACGCATGGCAGTAGCCCAAGGACAGAAACAGTAGTCACTGAAGCAGGACTGAGAGCTGGGAAAGACATTTTCTACCCAGTTTTCAAACTAGAAATCCTCAGGGATCTTTGTCTTCTTTCTCACTTTCACAGAGTCCCTGAAACCTCCTGGCTCTCTCCTCTGCCATCTCTCAATTCGATCTCTCCTGCTGGGGCTCAGTTCAGGCCCCCACTGTGGATCTCTCTGATGGACCATTGCTCTCTCTCACTTCTCATCTGTCCCTACACTGTCCCAGATGTCTCCAGAAAAGATCGGAACGTGCCAGCTTTTTGTTTTTGTTTTTTTGAGTTGGAGTCTCACTCTGTTGCCCAGACTGGAGTGCAGTGGCACACTCCCGGCCACCGAAGCCTCAACCTACTGAGCTCCAACAATCCTTCCACCTCAGTCTTCCAAGTAGCCAGAACTATAGGGGCGCACTACCATGCCTAGTTAATTTTTTATTTATTGTAGAGACAAGGTCTCGTTAAGTTGCCCAGGTGGGTCTCGAAACCGCAGGCTCAGGCAATCCACTAGCCTCGGCCTCCCAAAGAGCTGGGATTACAGGCTGAGCCACTGAGCCCGGCTGGAACATGCCAGTTTTAGAGAGAACCATTCTCATGCCCACGGTCCCCATCCAAGCCCACAAAATACCAATTTCTCAGGGGTTCTGGGAAAGTAACCCCCACCCCTCTTTGCTTTCCCCATGGTGAGAGTGCCTCGTCTGCTTGTGAAAAACGAGAGGGGACATGCACACACAGCTCTGCAGAGTGCAGGGGTCTTCCTCCTCTCACTCTTGCCTTCTGGGGCACCCCTGAGGCAGGAGCGAGGGGCTGCCTGCTAAAGCAGTTCTAGAAGATGATCTATCTCTAATCAACGGCCATCAGTCTATGGTTGCTGAGGCTCCATGTAGATGGTTAGGAAGCTGCTACAGATCCCACCTCTCCCCCAAGACCTAACCCAGACAGGCATTAGAAAGTCCCCTCAGTTACTAGCTTAAGCCACGCCTTCCAGTCTAGGTTTACAAATAGCCAGGAGCAAGGCTCAGCCTGTAATCCCCGCACTTTGGGAAGCTGAGGCAAGAGAACTGCCTGAGCCCGAGGTTTTGAGACCAGCCTGGGCAACTTGGCAAGACCTCGTCTCTACAATAAGTCAAAATATAAGCTGAGCGTGATAGCGTGTGCTTGTACTTCCAGCTATTTGGAAGGCTGAGGTGGAAGGATCACCTGAGACCAGCAGGTCGAGGCTACAGTGGCCATAAGCATGCCACTGCACTCCAGTCTGGGCAACAGAGTGAGGCTCCAACTCAAAAAACAATAACAACAACAAAAATAGACAGCTGATGTTTTAATCTCACCTCCACTCCCATGACTACTTCTCAATTGGTACTGCACTTAAAGAGGGAAAATAGATGGGATTAATCACCACCTACCTCTAATGCCTTTGCAAAAAACCATAGGCGGGCCAGGCGCTACAGTAGCTCATGCCTGTAATCCCAGCACTTTGGGAGGCCGAGGCAGGAGAATTGCTTGAGGCCAGGAGTTCAAGACCAGCCTGGGCAACATAGCAGACCTGTCTCTACAATAAATTTAAAAACTTAGCTGGACATGGTGGTGCATGCCTGTGGTTCCATGCCTGTGGTTCCAGCTACTTGGAAGAAAGGCTGAAGCAGAAGGATCGCCTGAGTCCAGCAGGTTGAGGCTGTGATGGCCATGAACATGCTACTGCACTCCAGCCTGGATGACAGAGTAACTCATGAACATGCTACTGCACTCCAGCCTGGATGACAGCCTGGATGACAGAGTAACTCAAAAGTAAATAAATAAGTCTGATAACTTAAACTTTCCCTCCCTGTGCCTCAGTCACCCCAAACTACCCATTCTTCCCTGCATACAGCATGTTTTTACTTCAAACACCCCACAGGCCATCCACTCAGCCTGGCATGTGCTTCTGTCCAAACACACCTGAACTCACTCACCTCCAGGCTCAGTTCAAATGTTCACTTGCCTGTGAAGTCTGATTCAACTTCCTTAGACAAAAGACACACATCATCCTATATGTTTTTCTCACTTTGAGTGTTTGTGTACCTATAATCCCAACAAGCCTTAAGGCCCCTGGATGGCAGGGATTACATTTATTCTTCTATCTCCCAGTGCTTTTACTCATACTAGACACTTATGAACACACCAACGAGGCACAGTGGCTCATGCCTGGAAATCCCAACACTTTGCGAGGCAGAGGCAAGAGACTGCCTAAGCTCAGGGGTTCAAGACCAGCCTAGGCAACTTGGCAAGACCTCATCTCTGCAATAAATTAAAAAAAAAAAAAATTTAACCAGGAGTGGGGGCACACGCCTGTAGTCCCAGCTATTTGGAAGGCTAAGGTAGAAGGATCGCCTGAGCCCAGCAGGTCGAGGCTGCAGTAGCCATGATTGTGCCACTGCACTACAGCCTAGGCAGCAGCGTGAGACTCTGACTAAAAAACAAAAAAAAGTCAGATGATATAAATGGACAAAAGAGAACAGCAGTGGGGCCTGGGGTGAGGCCATAAGCATTCAACTTGCAGCTTTATATCAGGGCTTGTAAACTTTTTCTCCAGGAAGTGGGCAGTAAATATGTTTGGTTTTCTGGGTCAGATAGTCTCTGTCACAAATACTCAGTCCTGCCATCAAGGCACAAAAGCAGCCAGGGATAATGCATAAATGAATGTGTGTGGCCGGGTTCCAGAAAAACTTCACTTGCAAAAGCAGGGAGCAGGCTGGATCAGGGCAGCAGGCTGCATGTGGGCCATGGCCACAGTTTACGGTCCCTAATTTATCTGACTGAAAAAACCCTTGGGATACCTCTGCTTTCCTACTTTTCAGGGTAAAGTCGGAGCCTCTGTGTGAACTGACTTAAACCAAATATTTGTAATAAGTGGAACAGAATTAAAACACAAAGGTGCAATAATAAATAAATAAATAAAATAAAATAAAATAAAACACGAAGGCTCCCCACAACAGAAAGCCCTGTGATGTAGGGGCACTGCCTCCTTGTTACACCTGGTCTCCAGGGTATTGAACAGTGAGTGGTTCTGATCCCCACCCACACTGGAGCATGTCGACTCTGCTTAAAATTCTCCCATAGGTGCTCATTTCCTATAGTAATGGCTAAGGTAATGAGGGTGCTGACAGCAGCAGTAGAAACCAGTTGACATCCTGTCTCAGGTACTATTCTAGGTACTTTCCATAAATAAATTCATCTAATTCCATGTAGTAGGTACTATCATCACTCCCACTGGAAGAATAGAGAGAGTACATTGTTTGCTTATGGTTACACAGTGAGTGGCAGAGCTGAGGGGTTTAAGTCCAGGCGGGCTGGCCCTTGTGATCAACTGCTCTCCCAAGGCCCAGTCACTAGCCATTCCTGGTTAGACATCTTCATGTGGCCCTCAACTAGCTCATCTTCCCCCACTCATTTAGATGCTGAACTCTCTACACTTCTAAGAATACATGTGTGTATGTTTCCATCTTTGAGCCCAATGTTCTTTCTGCCTGGAGAGCTCTCTCTCACCAGTTGATGAAAGATGGACCTGTGATCCACATTAAGTCTTGGCTCAAAAACTATCTCCTCTCTCTCTGAATCCTTCCCCAACTGTCTGGGTTAGACTTCGATGTTCTTTCTGCTATGTCCCTGCCACATTTTTGTCTTTATAAAAATTTGAAAAAAATTTTTAAGGTGGGCCGGGTACAGTGGCTCATGCCAATGCTTTAGGAAGCCCCACCTCTACAATAAATCAAAAAATTAGCCGGGTGCAGTGGCGCATGCCTGTAGTTCCAGCTACTTGGAAGGCTGAGCTGGAAGGATTACCTGAGCCCAGCACCCGAGGCTGTGGTGGCCGTGAATGTGCCACTGTCCTCCAGCCTGGGTGACAGAGTGAGACTCCAACTCAAAAAAAAAAAAAAAAGACCAGCCTAGGCAACATACTGAGACCCCAATTCTACCAAAACATTTAAGAAAAAAAATAGCCAGATGTAGTGGCATACACCTCTCTGTGGTTGAAATTAGCTCTTCAGAAGGCTGAAGTGGGAGGACTGCTTGAGCCCAGGAGTTCAAGGCTACAAGTAAGCCAAGATTGTGCCACCGCACTCCAGCCTAGGTGACTGAGCCAGATCCTATCCCCCCCCAAAAAAAGTGTATACTCATGTTCACAGCTGTGTTATTCACAGAAGCCAAAGGTGAAACTCACCCAAGTGTCCATTGATGGGTGAATGGATAAACAAAATCTGATACATACACATAATGGAATATTCAGCCTCTAAGAGTGAGGAAAATCTGACAAATACTAAAACATGGATGAACCTTTGAGGACATTGGGTTAAAATAAACAAGCTGGTTACAAAAAGACAACTACCATATGATTCCACTTATATGAGGTATCTAGAATAATCAAATTCATAGAGACATACAGTACAGTGGTGGTTGCCAGGGGCTCAGGGGAAAGAAGGAATGGGGAGCTATTGTTTAATGGGTATAGAATTTTAGTTTTACAAGATGAAAAGAGTTCTGCAAATTAGTTGCACAGCAATGTGAATGTATTTAATGCCACTGAACTGTACACTTTAACATGATTATGATGGTAAATTTTATGTCATGTATATCTTACCACAATTTTTTAAAAAGGAGAAAAAGAAAGAAAAGGTGTCCCTAATTTTAAGATATTAAAGAAAATAAAACCAAGCCGGGCTCAGTGGCTCAGCCTGTAATCCCTCGCTTGGGGAGGCTGAGGTGAGTGGATTGCCTGAGCCCGCGGGTTTGAGACTCACCTGGGCAACTTGGCAAGACCTCACCTCTACAATAAATAAATAATTAGCTGGGCGTGGTAATGCGCGCCTGTAGTTCCAGCTACTTGGAAGGCTGAGGCGGAAGGATCGCCTGAGCCCAGCAGGTCGAGGCTGCGGTGAATGGGAGCGGCCACTGCACTCCAGTGTGGGCAACAGAGTGAGACTCCAAGTCAAAAAATAAATAAATAAATAAAAATTAAAAAATTAAAAATAAAACCACTCACAGAACATAAAAAAGTCTCCTATAACCAACTACTTTAGCGACTTTATATACAACCTTTCAGATTATTTCTCATACGTATCAATAATATATGAATATTGCATGCATTTGTTTCTACTATTTTTTTTTTTTTGGAATTGGAGTCTTACACTGTTGCGCAGGCTGGAGTACAGTGGCATGCTCACAGCCACCCCAGCATTAACCTGCTGGACCCTGGCAATCCCTCCCTCTCAACCTTCCAAGTAGCCGAAACTACAGGCACGCACTACCATGCCTGGCTAATTTTTTCATTTATTGCAGAGACAAGATCTTACCATGTTGCCCAGGCTGGTCTCGAACCTGCAGGCTTAGTATTACAGGTTCGGATTACAAGCTTGAGCCACCACACCCGGCCAGTTTCTACTATTATCTGTCAGATCTTTTCTTTCATTATATCTTTTAACAGGTTATTGCTGCTACTTTATAGAACTGACTCAGAAAATATTTATCTGGTACACAATGACCTTTCTAAACTCTTGCTGGTTCCTATAGTCTGTGCTTGTTTGCTGGGTTTCTCTTGGATCTTCTAGGAAGACCTATCTGTAAATAACGACCATTTTATCTCTTGCTTTCTGACACTTGTACCCACATTTCTTTTTCTGTGTTTTCGCATTGGTTGAATCCTTCAGAAAAATATCAATGGTAAGAGGCATCGTTTTACTGTTTTTAATGAGAATGCTTTAGTATTTCACCATTGTGCATCACGTTCCCTTTGGTTTCTGACAAATATTCTTTACTGTGCTTAGAAAAATGCGTATTTTTTAAATCTGGAATTGATATGAATTTTTTTTTTTTTTTTTTTTTTAGTTAGAGTCTCACTCTGTCGCCCAGACTAGAGTGCAGTGGCACGCTCCCAGCCATCGGAGCCTCGACCTGCTGGGCTCCGGCGATCCTTCCTCATCAGCCTTCCGAATAGCTGGAACTACAGGTGCACACTACCACACCCGGCTAATTTTTTGATTTATTGTAGAGATGAGGTCTCGCCAAATTGCCCAAGCGGGTCTCAAACCTGTGGGCTCGGGCAATCCACTCACCTCGGCCTCCCAAAGCGCTGGGATTACAGGCTGAGCCACTGAGCCCGGCCTGACATGAATTTTGTAATCTAACAAAAACAATATGCTTTTTTTTTCAACTTAACGATTTAATGAATTATATTGATATAATTTCCAGTGTGGCACCATCCTTGTATTTCTAAAATATTAACTATGCTTTGTGGACTATGCAAGTTGCAAAAATCCAAACCATTTACTTTACTTACACTGTGTTTTTTAGGTTTTGATATGAGGATTGTTCCAGTCTCATCAAATAAGCTGGAAACATCTCTTGTTTTGCTAAACTTTGGAAGAGTTCAAATGGAATAAAGAAATATCAGAAACAATGATATTTCTGTACCATGAAAGTCTGTCAAACAAAACTTTCAAACCATTACAGCTACTGGGCTTTTTTTTGGCGGAATGGAGGGCTATCATTTTTTAAAGTCTTTTTCAATGTATTTTTATGATTATTGATCTATTTTCTTCCTCCATTTTTTAGTATATTTAATAATTACTATTCTACTTCATTATAAAGCTGCTTGATTTTCCATTTCTCCCAGACCAGTTCTCTGTTTCAGGTCTCACCTGGGCTGCAGTGGCTGCAGTCTGGAGGAGACGGGACTCTTCCCACAGACACCGGGCCACGATACGGGCAATCTCCATTGGCTTCTCAAGATATCTGCTCTATAAGTAGGAGAAAAGAACAAAATCAGCAGCAGACCACAGAGATGTGGACTGAACTTTGTTAACTTAAAACAAATTTCCTCATCAACTGAGGAAAGTGTTACATTTACCACATGAAGCACCAGAACAAAGGCTTCAGAGCCTAGGTGAAACCAGTGGTGAGAGAAGAAAGAGGCGCTGTGCTATTTTTGTGCAAGTTAGTCTGAGTCTTTGGACAGCATGTTATCCTGTTCTTACAGGGAGGCAACTGACTTAGACAACAAGTATCCCTTGACACTAAAAAACTTTAACATGCAAAAGTGAGAGTCAGGCCGGATGTGTCAGCTCATGTGTTTAATCCCAGCACTTTGGGAGGCCGAGGTAGGAGGACTGCTTGAGCCCAGGAGTTCAAGACCGGTATGGGCAACATAGTGAGATCTCGTCTCTATAAAAAAACTTTTAAAATTAGCCTGGGCGTGGTGGTACATGCCTGTAGTCCCAACTACTCAGGAGGCTGAGGCAGAAGGATCACCTGAGCCCAGGAGATGGAGGCTGTGGTGAGTTAAGACTGTGCCACTGCACTCCACCTGGGTGACAGAGTGAGACTCTGATTCAAAAAAAAAAAGTGAGAGTCATCTTCCTATGAGGGGACCTAGTTACAATCAAGTTATTAACATGCTAATGTAACATGATTAACATAACAGCAATCGCTTTATTATTTCAACTATGACAAGAGAAATGAATCCCAGATAATGATACTCAAGGGTAAGTATACGGAGATTTGAGAAAGTGTTAATTACTTCTCCTTTGATTGAAAAAACAAGATAGGGTCTCATTATTTAGCCAAACCAGAAAAGAAATGTTTCTGGGCAAGAAAGCTAACACCCTATTCTGCAGATCCAGTTTCTCTTTCTGCTCAGTTTCTCCTCACACCTGAAGGAACTGCTTGATTCTTCGCAGATTGTGCTGATAGAGAACATTCGATTCTTGTAGAAAGCGGCTATACTGCTGGTCAATCTCACCCAAGAGATTATGAAACACCAAAGTTGCATGTGATTCCTTGCTTGCCGCATATGCCCTAGGAAAAGGAAGAATGATAAAGAATGATTTTGAAACCTGTACACACAAACACACACACACACACACACACACACACACACACACACAGAAATCATCATCAAGAATGGGAAAAAAAGGCAAACCTGATTCTACAACCCATTCATTAATCATTTTATTTTTTCTTTTTAATTCATTTATTTTTTAATTTTTTGTAGAGACGAGGTCTTACCCAGGCTGGTCTCAAATTCCTGGGCTCAAGCAATCCTCCTGCCTAGGCCTCCCAAAGTGCTGGGTTACAGGGTGAGACACTGTGCCAGGTCTATTCAACATCTTAGAGTCTTCTTGCTCAACAACAATAAATGCCATCGATTTAATAATTATTTACAATTATCCTAGACATTACTAGCCACTCTCATAGTCTATATTTATAAAATATTAGAATGAACAGATGATATGCTGCTTTGCTTAAATTCTCAGTCAACTCTAGTCAGATTTTTAGTACAAAGACACAATTCCAGGCTGTGGTGGCTTCTCTCCAGCATCTCTGAACCACCTCCTGGCAGCTTCACCAAATCAAGGTAAGTATTCTGGAAAAATGAAGGCATATTAACATTGGACTGAATTAAGCCAAATCAGTAGGTGAACCTGAACACAGTGAGGCGACAGTTCCTGGGCTTCTGTGCCATCAACCCCAGAGTAGTCTATTTCCCTAACCTTGGGTCTCTTTCCTATAATTAAAGTGGAATCTCAAGTATGGACCCAAACTTCTAACCATGACAGAATTATCTTTTTGTTGTTGTTGTTTGAGAAAGCAGGATTTATTGAGAGCTCTGACAGCTGGAGGAGACCCAAAGGGGTTGCCCCAGAATTCTCATTTTTGTTTGAGAATTCTCGTTTTTGTTTTTGTTTGTTGTTGTTTGAGAAAGCAGGATTTATTGAAAGCTCTGACAGCTGGAGGAGACCCGAAGGGGTTGCCCCAGAATTCTCGTTCTGATGGAAAACATTTCTACCACATCACTGGGGTATCAGAATATGCAGACTCTCCCCAAGTAAAAAGATCCCAATCAGCCTTCGGAACACCTTCCACCCATAGTCTGTTTCAGGTGTCACAGCAGTTGCCTTCACATCCTTCTAATACAGAAGGTGGTTTTACAAGATGGAGCATCCTTCTCTATCTCCTGATCTCTTTTTCTGCGTTTTATTTATTTTATTGAGTTTTTCAATAAAATAGTAAAGCATGAAGTCAGAACAAATCATGTCTCAAACTCAAAACCATGAACTCAAACCCAAACCTAACAAATGTGAGAGTTTCTCTTTTTTTTCTTTTTTGAGTCTGAGTCTCACTCTGTTGCCCAGGCTGGAGTACAGTGGCACGCTCACAGTTACCACAGCCTTGACATGCTGGGCTCAGGTGATCCTTCTACCTCAGCCTTCCAAGTAGCTGGAACCACAGGCATGTGCCACTACATCTGGTTAATTTTTTTTTTTTTTAGAGAAGAGGTCTCACCATGTTATCCAGGCTGGTCTCGAACCCCTGAGCTCAGGCAATCCTCTCACCTCTACCTCCCAAATTGCTGGGATTACAGCCGTGAGCCACCACACCCGGCCTAGTATGGGAGCTTCTCAAGAAAGGCTTACCAGTCTTGACTCTCGATCCAGGGGGCCAGAAACTGCCGCAGCTCCATGGGGAAGCTGTCGCTGTACAGCTGGTGGAGCTGCTCCAAATACCGTGTGTCGAGCTGCTGCAGCTGATTCCACTGGGCCATCCTGCCAGAATCAGGGGTCCCACCTGTAAAACAAAGTGGCATACGGTCACCATACATTCCAGGAGGGGCCAACCATCTAGAGATACCCATCTCCCCACCGCAGGATTCAGGTCTGCAACTAGAGAGAAAGCTGCTTTGGGGAGGGTCCTGCTTGCTTCTCCCAGTTTGGACCAATGCACGCACATTCCCAATCTCCACCTCCAGAACATCACAGCTCTTGTATACTGGGCAACTAGGCATGATGCCAAGTTCCAGAACCCATGATCTAGCAGAAGTGTGGGAAGTTTAAATATTACTTAACTTCCAGATTTCTATTCCTCGTCTATAAAGTAGAGACCCTAGACAGGCTTGGTGGCTCAGCCTGTAATCCCAGCACTTTGAGAGGCCGAGGCAAGTGGACTGCCTGAGCCCACGGGTTCAAGACCTGCCCGGGCAACTTGGCAAGACCTCGTCTCTACAATAAATAAAAAACTAGCCGGGCATGGTAGCACGCGCCTGTAGTTCCGGCTACTTGGAAGGCTGAGGTGGAAGGATCGCCAGAGCCCAGCAGGTTGAGGCTGTGGTGACCGGGAGCATGCCACTGCACTCCAGTCTGGGCAACAGAGTGAGACTCCAACTCAAAAAAAACAAAGAACAAAAACATAGAGACCCTAATTCCTGCCCCTCAGGACTATCAAGTTATTTCTATAGCACCCACCTCATATATAGTACACAACAGATGCCCAGCAAATGTCAGCTCTTTGCTTTCCACCTGAAGCCGTTCCTAGGTGTACACAGTAATCTGGTACTAAGGCCAAAGTGTGAAATGTGGATGCCCAGGGAGGACAGTGAGCTAACCCAAGGCTACAGATTTAAATATACAAGTAAATATCCTCTGCCTGGGATTCTCCTGCTCAACAAAAAGGACCTTTGTATTTTTAGTTTCTCAGCCTGGGGTGGGACAGCAGGGAAGCTACACGCCAGGCCTGCAAGCTGTCCCAGCTCATGAATGACCCGGTGACATGCTTGGATGTGAGACACCAACAAGGTTAGTCACTTACAGGTCTCTTTCTAAACAATTTGGATCATGAAAATATCAATACAGACATTGTGGTGTTGTGTTTGTTTTTGTTTTGAGTTGGAGTCTCACTGCCACCCAAGCTAGAGTGCAGTGGCACATTACTGGCCACCGCAGCCTCGACCTGCTGGACTCAGGTGATCCTTTCACCTCAGCTTTCCAAGTAGCTGGGACTACAGGTGCATGTCATCACACCCAGCTAATTTTTTGATTTATTGTAGAGACGAGGTCTCACCAAGTTTCCCAGGCTGGTCTCAAACTCCTGGGCTCAGGTAATACTCTTGCCCCGGTCCCCCAAGTGCTAAGATTACAGGCATGAGCCACCATGCCCAGCAACCACACAGTCTTAAGAAGTTCCAAAAATAACTACAATAACTATTGTATATACAATAGGTATATACAAACCAAGGTTGCTGGGATGTCCTCGGGGACAGTGAGAACTTTTCTTTTTAAAAATTTTTTTTAAATACTTTTTTATTTTAAAGATGCGGGGTATAATTGAGGATTAGGTACATAAGTGGTCATCACATAGGTAAAGTTTGGACCTCTCTTTGGTCCCCATTTCACCTGGTTTGAGATCAGGTACCCTTATTGATGAAGTGTGCCCCCTATCCCCTGGGAGTGTCCCACTACTGCCAATCCCTTTCTTATGGTATTGAGTAAGTGTAGTGAGATCTTCTAATAAAGACTGAACACACACTCCTTAACAGACTTCTCAGGAAAGGTGTGAAGGGAGCCTCATATGTACTGGTCTTTTCATAAAAATGACTGAGCAAACTGGCAGGAAAACCAACAGGCCTATCCTCTAAGCAGCCGCTGCCACAGTCAGCATGTGGGTCAGAATCAGGTTTTCTGGCAGTATCGCTGGAGTCCATGCTGCAGTTCTCCCTGCCTCTCAGGGGAACAGACACAGAATCCCCCTCACTACCGAGAAGACGGCATCAGCTAGCCGAGCTCTCAAGCACAGGTCAGGGTCGTGCAGGCAGCACCCCCAGTTGACTACAGTAAAGAAACAATCTCAGGGGTGGCACCCAACAGAAACAAAAAACAAGCCACATGTACCTCTGTAAATCTGGCAGCCATATTCAAAAAGTTAAGAGAAACCCAAAATATCCAAAATGTTATCATTTCAACATGCAATCAGACAAAAATTATTGAAGGGGAGATACTGTACTCTTTTTTTTGTACTAAGTTGTTTTGCTTTTTTTTTTTTTTTTTTGAGTTGGAGTCTCACTCTGTCGCCCAGGCTGGAGGGCAGTGGCCACTCCCAGTAACCGCAGCCTCGACCTGCTGGGCTCCAGCGATCCTTCCGCCTCCACCTTCCAAGTAGCTGGAACTACAGGCGCACGCTACCACGCCCGGCTAATTTTCTGATTTATTGTAGAGATGAGGTCTCGCCAAGTTGCCCAGGCAGGTCTCGAACCTGCGGGCTCAGACAAAAATCCACTCACCTCAGTCTCCCAAAGCGCGGGATTACCGCTGAGCCACCGAGCCCGGCTTGTACTAAATTTTTTAATCTGGTGTGTAATTTACATTTACAGCACAGATCCAAGATATCGCCCCCCAAGCACCAATGACTTAAATCCCACTGGTGAAAAAAGTTCAATAAAGAGAAAAAGAGAGAGAGAGAATGTCAGAATATGGCATTTGCCTCCATCAGGCCAATATGTTTCCATAAATTAATCTCCAACAACGTTGGAGAGGAGTAAGTTTCCTGAGTGCTTGGTACTATTTTCTTTTTAAACAATGTCTTTCTTCCCCTTAGGCACCTCCTCAAACATTTTCAGCTACTACTAGTGTGGGACCAGTTACCATCTCCCACCCAAGGTCCCACCTGCCACATAACAGATGTTGCCTGGGCAGTGAGCAGTACATGCCCCCACACTAGCTGGAGTAAAAGTAGCAACAAGTCAGGTGCAGTGGCTCACACCTTTAATCCCAGCACTTTGGGAGATAGAGGTGAGAGGATTACCTGAGCCCAGGGTTCAAGACCAGCCTGGGCAACTTAGTGAGACCTTGTCTCTACAATAAATCAAAAAAATTAGCTGGGTGTGGTGGCGCATGCCAGTAGTCCCAGTTACTTGGAAGGCTGAGGTGGAAGGATCACCTGAGTCCAGAAGGACAAGGCTGCGGTGGCTGTGAGCGTGCCATTGTACTTCAGCCAGGGCGACAGAGTGAGACTCCGACTCAAAAAAAAAAAAAAGAACATATTCTTAAGAGATGATGAGCAGCAGCGTACAGTGGCGCAAACCTGAAACCCCAGCACTTTGGGAAGCCAAGGTGAGGGAATTGTCTGAGCCCATGGGTTCAAGAATAGCCTGGGCAACTTGGCAAGACCTCAGCTCTACAATAAATCAAAAAATTAGCAGGGCATGGTAGCACACACCTGTAGTTACAGCTACTTAGAAGGCTGAAGCAGAAGGATCACCTGAGCCCAACCCAGCAGGCCGAGGCTGCAGTGGTTGTGAGCATGCCACTGCACTCCAGCCTGGGCAACGGAGTGAGACTCCAATTCAAATAAATAAATACAAAGAGACGATGAGCCAGACAGTCTAGGAAAATCATTGCCAACCAGCTTTGCTGACACTGTTTTACTGGAAAAAATGTGAAACAGCCCACTTTATTTCACAATCTCAATTCTGGTTTTTCAACTACAAATTAATCTAAAGAATACCACTGAATCCCAACTAAAGCACTGCTTATCTATGAAATAATTCTAAGTCTGAGATTTAATAACCTTTCAATGGGCCGGGCTTGGTGGCTCAGCCTATAATCCCAGAACTTTGGGAGGCCGAGGTGAGTGGATTGCCTGAGCCCGCGGGTTTGAGACCCACCTGGGCAACTTGACAAGACCTCATCTCCACAATAAAATCAAAAATTAGCTGGGCGTGGTAGCGCGTGCCTGTAGTTCCAGCTACTTGGAAGGCTGAGGCGGAAGGATCGCCAGAGCCCGGCAGGTCGAGGCTGCGGTGGCTGGGAATGGCCACTGCACTCCAGTCTGGGTGACAGAGAGAGACTCCAACTCAAAAATAAATAAATAAATAAATAACCTTTCAATGAACTCCAGAACTCACAAAGTGATCTGAGTAACAATTTCAACACCAAGTACCATTCTGGGGACACAGAACAGAAGCCAGCTCATCCCAAACTGTGGCTGGCTTAGGGCATTATGTAGGACTCACTTAATGCAAAGCACTTCCTAAGCTTGGATTAGCAGATAGTAGATGCTAGTGTAAATGGAAAGGAAAGTGCGATCCTATTACTTATAACTGAAGAGAAAAGGAAAATAAGAATGAAACAAGTCATGAAAGACTTTCGGACTTTCTCAGCCCTTGGGGATAACCTGCCAACAAAAAGTCCTAAGGCAAACAACTAATAGGGAACTTGTTACTGTAAATATCACTAAAAAGTCTGTTCAAATCACAGTTCTCAGCCGGGCTTGGTGGCTCAGCCTGTAATCCCGCGCCTTTGGGAGGCTGAGGTGAGTGGATTGCCTGAGCCTATGGGTTCGAGACCAGCCTGGGCAACTTGGAGAGATCTCGTCTCTAAATAAATCAAAAAATCAGCCAGGCATTATGGTGCATGCCTGTCGTTCCAGCTACTTGGAAGGCTAAGGCGGAAGGATCACCTACACCCAGCAGGTCGTGGCTGCCCTGGTCATGAACGTGCCGCTGCACTTCACCCTGGGCAACAGAGTGAGAGTTCAACTCAAAAAAGAAGAAGAGGAAGAAGACTTGTGCTTTGTACACATGCACTAGTGGATTTACAGTAGGGCAGGGAAAGAGAGAGAGAAATGAAAATAAGGTGCGTGCAGTAATCCAGAACAGAAAGTGATCTAGAGATAACTTCATTTCTGCCTTGCAGTGTGTTACAAGATGTGTCTTTGGCTGTTACCCATACTTTGTATTAGAAATACCTGGATTTCAAATAGGGCACATCTGTGTTTTACCTGCTGCCTACACTAAACTCC